TGGAATGATTTGAGAAATTGTTTTTATGTTCTTGGGTTTTGGCAAAAAGGCAATATAAATTTTCTTCTGTGCGCGTCTATTGTTTAGTAGTATACTTTGTCTCCCACAATATCCCCTATTCTTTAAGCGTATTATGGAACTCGGTACGTTTTCTATTTGACGTGGAGCGTGACGAATTCGTTCTTAGCAGGCGAAGGTCTTCTTCTTTTTTACGGATCCCGTATTACGCCAGCTAGATGATATGAAAAAATGTTCGTGTATAAGAAGGTCTGTCTCTTCGTAATGCGTTTAATATATAACTCGCGTCTAGAAATGTATTTTCTTAATCTGTTGTTATTCACACAGCTATCGGCTGTGAGTGTAACTGCTGCCATTTGTGTAGATTCTTAGGGAAGACTGTAGTTTAGATTCTTTCTGAATCCCGTCAGTTGCCTCCGTAAGAGCGAATTCGTCATGTAGGAATAACAGGAGTCGCGCAGGCTCGTAAACACTTTTTAACTTTCGTAGGAACGGCAACAGACAGTGAATCCTCATTACATTCCACCTATATTCACGCTACCTCGCTGCCACCAAAGACGTTCACTCGACCACGACAGGATGCAAATGACTCACTTTTTGTGTTACGACAATGATGCAACACAATTAGAGTGCGCAGACCGCTTGCGTCATGGCGAAAATATAAGAGTTTGACTTGGAATATTTGCGACCGCTGTTAGGGGGTAAACTGTGAAAGCTTGAAAGAAATCAGTGAGATATCATGTGCCATGCCCGGTCCTCTCGTGGACAGACTCTTAAAGTTTTTTTGGCAATCATCATGCCATTAGAGTTAATGAGCGTTTGCCATTTGTACATTGTATTTTATGGGAAGCTATGCAATAGAGCCTGTAGAACCACTTGATTATAACCCTCCTTTCTATCAACTCATGAGGGAAACTGGTAACTAAGAGATGTCATAATATTTTCATGCCCATCTGGCCCAAGACAAATTATGCTTGTTATACCTTGGACACCATTTCAGTTCGCGACTCTAAATAATTTATTAGGTGGCAAGACAGCAATGAAAGAATCAGACCAAAATATCAGACAATCTAAAAACTCCCATCAGTGATTGCTTCATGTAACTTCTCCCTATAATATCCAAACACTATCCAACAAACAGATAATGATAATACTGAAACTTATCAAGTAGAAGTTATCTTGATCTTACATCAAGTTCTAATGACTTATTTACCAGTAAATGTGTAGCAGCTAGAGGGAGAATTTACAATCAGACCTTGGATATTTAAGGGCTAAAGGAAGGGGACTGAAATGCTTCCTCTCAGCTACTGATGTCAACAATGCTAGTCCTTTTAACACATTTAAGTTTCTGTCAGAGATTAACGTTCAATGAATTGATATTCCCATTCTTAGTATCTTAGTATTCAGAGACCCTCTGACACAAAGATTTGCAATAGTAGTTCTTGTTGCATTGTGTTAACCAATGTTAGAATATAATTTTGAGATGTAAAGAAGATACTTAAAAGAATTTTGAGAAATGTATCCCAATCAAGACATTCATTTTATACTGTTACAGTTACTTTAAGATTTGTTTGAAAGAGAATCTTTTGGATCACCACATTGTAAAAGAAATTATTTTTTGAGAGACCTCTATCAAATTATTTATTATGAGGAAAATTTTGTGAATAATAAAGTTTAGTGTTGTAGTTCATCTTCGTGTTGGAGATCTCTTTTTCTTGGTGAAACAGTCTCACTTCATCTTTTTTTCAATTTGAAGCATCAAATTGATTGATACATGAAGCACACAAAATATTTGAGAGTTCCACCCAGCATCCTTAGTGGATTATTATGCTATCATAAAAAAAGTCAACAACAACTACCTGAAACTTCTTTTGTCATAATTGCTACCAAATTTGTGTCAGTTTTCTTGGCCTGCCATAATAAGTGAAACCCGGCTGGGCAGTATTTTTAAGCAATCACGTCGGTTACTACCTCAAGCCGATAAACAACTTATGAATCCTCCCTTTTCTCTCTATCAAATCACTTTGGTTGACAGAAAAATATTGGTTTCAGAATGAATTTGTATAAACAATAGTGTCATTACGTTGGTTGACAAGCGGCCTAAAAACCGTCTGCAATTAATTTTAATCGTTCACAAAAAGTACCCAGAAAGTTGAAACGTGAGGTATTTGGTTACAGTTAAACTGAACGATGGAACTTTCATTCATTTAATATCTGAATTTTCTCGAGCAATTTGTTCATAGTGAAAGAGCAAGCGAAGTTTTAATTTAAGTTCTACAACAAATATACGCTCCCGGTGAGTCTTTCCAATTCCGTTCAATTTGGACATTTGTACCGTAAATTGCTCAACAGAAATTGAAGGAATTTTTTGAGAAAAGGCCGCATTAAATTCCCTTGTGTCTCGTTGGAGTGTGCCGTTCGAATTTAGTTTTTGTGAAGGAAAGACCAGAGTTACACACGCCATTACAGCAAATAAACGAGCAAACTCTCACAACTTCAAAATAAAAAAACTGAATTTACTCACAATTACTTTCCTCGCCGTCTACTTAATGAACAGAGGTAAATCTTCGTACATGAATGAATGGTTGATGAGAGTGAATAATACTTTCCGTTAGATCATTGACTGATTTTGAAGAAAACATTGTCGTGACAGTCCTTGCCAAACTAGTTCTGTTGGTTTTCAAATGTTCCTACGCTCTCTAATTGACAGGTGTCAGATTGTGACAGACACTCGTAAAAATAATGTTTCAAAGTTTATTTGGAAGCCTTTTAAATCACCTTTATCGTTATGGAAATGAAAATGTTTCGCTGAGGCATCTCTCTTTAATTTGCATCACCTCTATTTAAACTACCATTTACTCACTCAAAGATTGTTCAGTTTATGGAAGATCTTGCCGTATTTACAGCCATAAATTATTCTGGTTCTTTCGGAAAGAATTTCGTCAAGTTTAAAAACAATAAATATGTTATTTACCGGCTAAGGGTCGGTCCGTATGGTGAAAAACTGTGACCGAGGTCTTGAAAATGCTGCCCTCGGCCTACGGCCGCGGGCAGTATTTTCAAGACCTCGGTCACAGTTTTTCACCATACGGACCTCCCAGCCGGCAAATAACATATATTTATAAGAGTTTGTTTAGGAATATTTACGACCGCTCTTAGGAATATAAATACAATCAAATTCTTAATAATTCTTAATGCACCTTACTTCCACGGTGCATCGCTTGCTATCTGACCGCTTACTACGTTAAAAAGAACCCATTTTGGTGAGTTATCCATTTTAAGTTTACTACGTACATAAGAAAAGCCTAAGGCTTCACACTCCATTTCCGAACGCCCGATCCGAGACGCGAAACATTCAAGCTCAAAATGACCATAGATGACCATAAATGACCATAAATCCAACGCAGGTTCCAAGCACATATACTGTAGTTTCATTTCAATTCACTAAAAAGAATTCACCAAGTCATCTCATTTGTACCTTGGGATACTTCTGGACGATCAGCACTCTGGATACAAAGGATACAACTATCATGGCACCCAAGTTTACGTTTAAGCCAAATCCCCAGGACCAAGTTCTGCTAAATTTGAATATCCATAATTGTCATTTGGTAGTTAACAAATAATTTGCTGTTTTTATTGCGCCCGCGATTAACAAACAGAAAATTTGGCGAAGACAAATTTTGTCGAGATTTTTGGTAGAGTAAAACAAATTTAGTCAGCCAAGGGTATCTCGGCCTGAGCGGAAAAAATTTGACAGCAAGGTTGTGAGGGAACAAGACTACAGATCGGAAGTACTATTCAGCCTGGATCAAATTCTGAATTGTGCTATCTAATCGAAAATCGATACACGAGGGTCCTCGTTTTTCAAAAATAAAAAATTAAATACAGTACGAGAGATCTTAAAATATTTGATCATGCTATTTTAATAAAAATGCGATTCGACCTCGCCGAGTGGCTTGGCGGAATCACAAAATAAGTATTTAAAATGGAAGGGTATTAATTATTGTCGCGTTGGAAAGGTAAAAGTCGATGGAAAGAACTGTAGCAAATCGCAGAGAATTTTCGATGTCACTTCGTTAAGATTGCTCGAAAGCTTCCCAAAAGTCATAGAGAGATCTAAGTAACAATAGCCGCCTAACACTCCAAAATGATAAACACTTTCCCCAAAGTAGTCTAGGAATACAGCATAAATTAATAACCTGTGTAAACTTAGTAAGATGTTTTTTTTTAAAGATAAAATTGACATGTTGAAGGGGAAAACAATAGATGTAACTCCTGAGTTTTTTCCTTTGCCACTTCGTGAGATTGCTTTGAAAGCTTTCGAAAAGTTACCGACCTGCCTACCAAATAAGGAAATGACTGTATTTACAATTCGTGTATTGTATTTAATGGTTCACAGCCGCGCTTGAAGTAAGAACACATTAAATAATCAAGCAAACAGGAAAACCGACACATTGGCCAAAAAAAAAAAAAAAAAAAAAAAAAAAAAAAATCAAAACAAAACAAAAGAATGCATATTTTTCTTTAAATGACTCAAAATCAGGTGAACCTGCCCTGGAAAACTTAATGCATTATAATGGCGTATTTTGGTTGAATCGTGATGTCGTTTGCCAACACATGCGTGATAAATGAATCTGCTATGATTTGTGCTTTATGGCCAAATTTAATTCTTACTGAATTCTGGAGCATCTTGCATAAAAGCCTTTCTTTTGATTGGTTTCATTTCTTCCTTAGCTATGCTGCAACCTTACTTAAAGATAGATCTATCGGCAAAACGAACCAAAAGTAACTATGATGAACGGACTGTAGTTATTAACGAAAGGCGCAGATTAAAAATGACCCTTCTTTCATGAATCGAAAAGAAACGTTTGTTCAGAAAACCCATCCGTGGAAATAACTTTCAGCTATTTTTATTTGTTTGTTTGTTTGTTTGTTTTTTTTTGTTACTTCTCAGATTCCGCGACAACCGGTCGTTGAGCAGAATGGCCTTACAACCATTTACCAATGAACAATTGAATTATTTCAAGTTTGCTTTCATCGTGCTGAATGAAATTCCTAAAGCATTGCGGCAAACTTTTAAACAGATGTGGAACAACACCTTTGCGTCACTCCCTGGTTTTCAGTCCTGGGATGACTCTAATGCTGTACGTAACTTGTTCTTAAGTACTGAAGGTGGAGCATCCAAAGTCCCCACACATCTCTCCTATGATGAGTGGGATTGCACAGCCCTGTTCCAGACCACCATCTACGCGCGGTCCTTTGCTTTGCCAGATAGCAAAGGCCATCACAGGATACTCCATGATTTGTACTTGAGGTCCTGTAAATTATCACCTGGTACTTTCCATTCTTTTGTAGTTAGTCCAACTGGAGATGACGCAGAAACCTTTGCACTGGCGATCGATCAGCTTCGTTTGTTGAGAAATTCGCTCTGTCATTTAAATAAATCCGAATTGGACAAAATAAAATTTGATCGATACGTTCAACTCGCTAAAGACGCGATGAATGCCCTTGGAGTTAACACTGACCCTATTGATGCTGTTGGAAGTTTAACTGAGTCTGACTTTCTCATCGAGAAAGTTCGCAAGTTAGAGGATGACGTCAGAAAAGAGCTTCAAAAAAGAAACGAATTCCTCGAAGAAGAAGTTATTGATGACTTGCAGCTCTTACAGAAATCTCAAAAGGAAGGTACTGAAGAGCTAAAGAAGACAAGCAAATCTGAAAATGCCAGTACCCAAGGCACGATTGAAACTAAGTTTGCCGAGTTCCAAACAGAAAGCAGACTTGTCAGAGAAGGTGTTAAAGGTGAGTTACATCTTCTACAGCAATCACACAAAGACGACACCGAGAACCTGAAAGAGGCAATCGCTAAGAAGATTAACGAGTTTAGCCAAGAGATGAAAGACCCTCTGAAGGAGCCGCAAAGTCCAGGTAAATAACAAATTAAAACGAGATTTTTTGTGATTCTGATTTGACCAGAACTTCAACCGCGCATTCATCGGATTTCACCGAGCGATCTGGTGATGTTAAGAACCTTTCTTTTCGCGCTACTTATGATTTGGTGTCCTTCACAGCCGGTGTATAGTCTTGTATGTAATCGGCACATAATACGTTTCTAGACGAGGCAAAAAGGAACTACACAGAAAACTACTCAAAGTTTTATTTCTCAATATTTTACATATGTTTTTCTGAGATAGCAATACTGCTACACCCAATTCATTTATTTCAATGCCGTTTATCAGCGCAAAAACGAGGCTGACCTGCGAAAATAGACCTTCTGGATCTCATATTCATTTGAATAATAACTCAGCTGCCGAGTCTAACAGGCTTGACATCAGAACTCAACTACTTGGGGAAGAACACCAGACGACCGCTGACAGCTCTTGTAAACTGGGGGCTACGCAGTATGCCCTTACAGATTACACCTTAGCCGCTGAGTCCCACGAGCGTGCACTTAACATCAGACAAAAAGGATGGAATAAAGATCACAAGAGGACCGTTGACAGCTACCATAAGCTGGGGCTTACCCAATATAGGCTTAGTGATTACACCTCAGCCACTGAGTCACACAAACGAGCACTAAAGATCAGACAAACAGTTCTGGGTGAAAATCATGAGAAGACCGCTGAGAGCAACCATTGGCTGGGGTTACCCAATATGTGCTTAGCGATTACACCTCAGCCACTGAGTCACACGAGTGAGCACTGAACATCAGACAAAAGGTATTGTATGTGAAAAACATAATTAACCCTTGAACTGAGGATATTGCACGAGACGCACTTAGCTTCTGATTAGTGCAAGCATGTACTTGACTTTCGTTTAAATTTGAGGGAGGAAGAACGTGCGAGCACCAGTAAAGCGATTGTCAAAGAAATCGTGGACATTGTAGAGATTACAAGAAATAGGTATTTAATTTTTTAGTTTACACAAGTTAGAAGAATACGCCTCAGTCATGAGTTTTGTAAACAACCTCTTGACTTAACATCAGTCTTTTTGAAAAAAAAACATGCTTGATTTAGAAGACTAAGACAATCCTACCATTCAAGACATCGAAAATAAATAACATTACTTATTAAGCACAATGCTGATTTTTGTTTACTTCCGACACACTAAACTTATATTACTGCTTGGTCAGGAGTACATCATCCAATCGACATACAACACAGAACTTCACCGAGAATACAATTTATTTTTCACACACTAATGAAAGTTACATTTTATAACCTTTGTACAATATGAGTTGATGGTAGCACTTAGAAATTATCTTCCGCGGGGCAGTGTCAAATTTTTGTAAGATAGCAATATTTCTACCACACCAAAAGACGAGACAGCTATTTGCTTTCAGATTAAAAACACGTCAGTACAAAAGTCATGTGAACGCTTACGGATCGCTTACCATGAAAATGCTAACCATTAAAAAGGTAACGTCACGATTTGAACATCTTTAAAAAATTAGCCTGAAATTTTCAAGTTCGTCATGAAAAAGAAATCCACGTCAATCTTGTCCATTCTTAGCCATCTTTGTTCCTGTTTTATTTAATATTCATATTTTAGTTTTTTCCGATCATATCAGTCTATTATTTTGTGGTTTCCCGCACGTTGAAGATCATTAATTATGAAAACCAGAGATATCTTAAACAAACTCTAAAAAGTAGAGAGTTGACTTATATTAATTATATGTTTATGGTCTTCTCGTCAAAAATACCGCATTCATCAGGTCTGTAAAGTGAACTACTCAAGGACGCTAAAGGTCTATTTAAAACCATTGTGATAAAATATCTGGCTGTCTGAAATGGTAGATGAAAACCGTTGTTATTAAAACCCAGGCTCTACTGAACTAGGAAACTCCCTGTCTTCAAAGCTTAGTTTGAAATAAATACCGAGAATGTTTCGAGAAATTAAGACAAATATTGCATTATACAGCGCACATCGCTTGAGTGACGTAAAAGCAGAACATAGCGATCAATACATCCAATCAGAACAAAGAAAATTTTGCCAAAAGACAGGCTAAAACTGAAGCGCGGGAAACGCAAGTTCCGTTTCGCGATTGGTGTAAGTCTTGCACCTGACTGGTTGAAAAAGTGGCGCAATCCCAATTTACTTTGGGCATTAAATTGAAAATCTGTCTTTGCTTGATCGAAATGTTATGAGTTTGCAAACTTATCCACCGCTAGAGCCATGGACGTGTTGCACATCACGTCTTTCCTTGACGGAGACCAAATATTTCGGAAGGAACTTAAAGACACAAAGACTGATTAGAAGACATTCTTTAAATCGAAACTAAAAAGACTTGTTTTCTTGCTTCATCAAAGTATAACTCTGTCTCTTGAAATTCCGTTGTAACTTGTTCTGGATCCAATGCCGTCAAGTTCTCGCAAATACCCATCATCCCTTGGAGACATCAGGTCCAAACGAACTGCAGGCTCATGAGCAGAGGTTCCCGTGTTCGCGGTGCTTAACAAGTCCGAAAGTCTTTGAGGAGGTTCCCGGATTCTGTTGTACCCAGGCCGACTCTTTTCTAATTTGAGTCTCTCGAATTCGCGGTTTAGGAGTTTTCTTTCTTGTAAAAGTTGTCTCTCACGATTTAAAAGTGTAGTTACCTAAGAAAAAGCAATGAAAATGATTGGTGCCGGATACCTTTTGGTGTGAAAACAACTGTGGCCAAAGCCACTTTTTTTCAAAAATAAACAAAACTGAGATAAAATTTTATCTTTCTTCTTAGCGCCATTAGTTGTAAAACAAAAACCACAGTAACGAAAGATCGACGCATTCCCGGATTTCCTTAACCCTTTGAACCCCGAGACTGACCAGCATCTAATTTCTCCTTACAATATCACCCCCAATTAACACATTAAGGTCACGAGAAGGAAGAAAATGATCACCAACTAATGAAGCTCTTGATTAGTAAACAGATTCTCCTTGTCTTCTCCTTAGGAAATGTATTGAGAACAGTATGGAGGATATGCATTCTGATCTTAGGGTGTAAAGGGTTAAAGACTCAACTGAATGTCTCTAAAAATTTTGCAATAACGATTTGAAAGACTCGAGTGATATGAAGTGAGTTGATTGTTTGGCTCTTTCACGGGAAAATAGTAACGAGGAAATAACTAAATCAACAACAACATACAACAACAAAAAAATGTTTTGGTATAATAAAACAGGATAGCGCACTGCGTTATTATACCTGAGAGCTTGCTGCATCTGCTCTTGTTTCTGCATCGACGACCATACTTTGAAGTTTCTCGTGAGAAAGCTTTGATGACGAAAGCTTGGACTCCAACTGCAAAGAGGATAAAAGGAAAATAGAAGGTTAGCAGCCAGCGCAAAAATCTCTAAACAGCAAGAGCGGAACCTCTCCCTCGCGACGCCCCTATTTGAGGAACAAATATTTCGTCCTTATTTGGAAAAGGATGCTCGCGTAAGCTTCGTGTCTGCTAACATCAATGAAGAGACTCTTTTACTCAAGGGACACTTTTTCCTCTCCTGATGGTGTCCCATAATCCGAGTTTTTCCCGTATGAGGAACCATAAACACCAGAACTACTTTAATGTAAACTTTGACGAAAAGGCAAATGAAACAGATTTTGGAGCGCTCTCCCTTTAGACACAAACAACAAAAACATGTTTTTCCAATACTAAGAACGACAATCGCTTAAAGGCTATTGTCGAGTAGTACCTCCTCTCTCGCCTGCCTCTCCTCGTTCAACTGGCCATTCAGTTCATCATTCCTTCGTTTCTGCTTTTTAATCTCTTGTCTAGTAGAGAGAAGGTAAAAAAATAAAGTGAACACATTTTGCTGAGAGGCGATTCAGAGTGTTTAAGACTGTTTTTCGCTTTTCTCCTTTTTCTTTTTCTAATACAACTTCCATGAAAGTTGTTCTGCTAGAGACTGTTGTTTGAGAGGCGTTAGCGCTAATTCAACCCGGAGTTTTAGGTGTAAAATTGTACATTAGGGCAAAAATTTCTGGGATTCTATCTCACTGTGAATCAAAATTGAAGGGATTATAACTGTTTGCAAAGCTACAAAGATGAATAAAAAATCTATACTAACTCTAATCCTCAGCCAATTTCTAGGCAATATTTTGTATAGTTTTCAATGTGGCGTAAGTTTTAAACCGAACAAAAATTATTTTAAAGAAGTATAAGTTGCTGTGGAAACCGAAACTTCGTCTTCGAAGAAGCGCCGTAGATTATGGACAACAGAAGGGCAATGGTTGTAAATTCTTATCATTATTTTTGTTCCTCTCCAAAGACTAGGCATGTAAGGAAAATAAAAACTTACCTCAACTCATTCACTGTTTGCTCAAATTTCTGCGTTACTGCTCTAGATTCCTCTTTCCACCTGACAGACCAAAGAGATCGACTTTTATTATACATCTAACACCTTCACAACAACGTCAGGTTAATAGCCATGGCGATGTAAGGGACATTCCTGATTAAGAACTAAATTCTCCTGCCAAGAACAAAAAGTGATTGGACGCATCACGAGAGCCATATCTCAGTCAACAGACGAGGTGGCCGAGTGGTTAAGGCGTTGGACTGCTAATCCAATGTGCTCTGCACGCGTGGGTTCGAATCCCATCCTCGTCGTGAAGAGTTTTATTTTAAGACCTAAAGAAACACGCTAGAGCTTAATCATTTTTAAAAGCTGTTTGACTTAACACGTACTGTGCTCCAAGTTTCTGTTGTCCATTCAACATTTCTCTGAGTTCATTCACCGACTGTCTGTTCATCTCCTCCACGTTTCGAAGTCGTGATTCAAACTCTCTTTCCCGTTGCTCAAGTCGTTGATTGAGCGATGAAACCTGAAAAAAGATAAGGACTTCTGTTTTAAAGATACAGCGCAGAGGAATTATCCGCAGCCAAAAGATTAAGAACAATAAAAGAAAACGGAAAACTTTAACTTAATTAGTTTTTACGAGAAAGAAAATTGAACGATCTTTTTTCGACTGGGAACCCCTTTGAGACAGTTCTGCTTCCATTTAGAATCACCCATGGATTTTGATTGGTCGACTAGAGCAATGTGGAAACATCACAAAGGTGGAAGTCCGTCCATTCTTTATTTATTTATTTATTTTTTTAAGTCAGGCGAAAAAGAGCGAAGTAAGGGAGAGACTGTGAAACAGGTGAAAAAAAAAATTAATAAAAAAATTAATTAAACGTTCGTTGATGTTCTCTAGTTCTTTCCCCACCACATGGGGCTTGCGTTCTTTAAAACCCAAGACTCCCATTTCGTTCGCGTTCTCGACGATATCCAAAGAGAAAAGAATAGATCCGTGGACAAAATACAGGAATGGTGGAAACTATTCAAGAGATAATTGTGCCTTACTATAAAAGACATCTTTACATAGATATTGAAAATACATAGATCCTGAATTAGATTACGAGAAGGCAACAAACACTTTTTAAAAAAAATACCTCCTAAGTGCACTGATGTTCGGCGGTCTCTTTCGCTTGTTTACCCAAAATAAACTTGGTAATTACACCTCAGCCAATGAGTCACACAAGCGAGCACTAAAGATCAGACAAACGGTATTGGCTGAAAATCATGAGAACACCGCAGAGAGTAACCATCATCTGGGGCTTACCCAATTTATGCTTAGTTATTGCACGTCAGCCACTGAGTCACACAAGCGAGCACTAAAGATCAGACAAACGGTATTGGGTGAAAATCATGAGGACACCGCAGAGAGCTACCATTGGCTGGGGCTTACCCAATATATGCTTAGTGATTACTCCTCAGCCACTGAGTCACACAAGCGATCACTAAAGATTAGACAAACGGTACTGGGTGAAAATCATGAGAACACCGCTGACAGCTACCATGCGCTGGGGGTTACCCAATCTATGCTTGCAGAAGAAGAAGACCGCTGTCAGCTACTTTAACCTGGGGGCAACTTAAAATATGCTTAAAGACTACGCCTTGGGTGAAGATCATGAGAATACCGCTGACAGCTACCATGAGCTGGGGCTTACCCAAGATCTGCTTCGTGATTACACCTCAGCCACTAAGTCACAAAAGCTGACAGCTACCATAAGCTGGGGCTTACCCAGTATATGATTAAAGATTACACCTCAGCCACTGAGTCACACAAGCGAGCACTAAACATTAGACAAGAGGTATTGGGTAAAGATCATAAGAAGACTGGTGTCAGCTACTATAAGCTAGGGGCTACCCAATATGTGCTTAGTGATTACACCTCAGCCACTGAGTCACTCAAGCGAACACTAATCATTAGGCAAAAGGTCATGCGAAGATCGCTGACAGCTACCATAAGCTGGGGCTTACCCAATATTTGCTTAAAGGTTACACCTCAGCCACCGAGTCAAACAAGCGAGCACTAAACATCGGACAAAGGTATTGGGTAAAGATCATAAGAAGACTGGTGTCAGCTACTATAAGCTAGGGGCTACCCAATATGTGCTTAGTGATTACACCTCAGCCACTGAGTCACTCAAGCGAACACTAATCATTAGGCAAAAGGTCATGCGAAGATCGCTGACAGCTACCATAAGCTGGGGCTTACCCAATATTTGCTGAAAGGTTACACCTCAGCCACCGAGTCAAACAAGCGAGCACTAAACATCGGACAAAGGTATTGGGTAAGGATCATAAGAAGACTGGTGTCAGCTACTATAACCTAAGGGCTACCCAATATGTGCTTAGAGATTACACATCAGCTACTGAGTCTCAAAACTGAGCGCTAAGCATCAAAGAAAAAGTATTGGGTGAAGATCATAAGAAGACCGCTGACTGCTACCGTGACCTGGGGATTATCCAATATTTACTTACTGATTACACCTCAGCCACTGAGTCACACAAGCGAGCACTAAACATGATCAGACAAAAGAGATTGGGTGAAGGTCATGCGAAGACCTCTGACAGCTACATAAGCTGGGGCTTACCCAATATATGCTTAAAGATTACACCTCAGCCACTGAATCAAACAAGCGAGCACTAAACATCAGAGAAAAGGTATTTGATAAAAATCATAAGAAGACCGCTGACAGCGACTTTTACCTGGGGGTTACCCATTATATGCTTTGATATTACACCTCAGCCACTGAGTCACTCAAGCGAGCACTAAACATCGGACAAAAAGTATTGGGCGAAGATCATGAGAACATCGCTGACAGCTACTTTAATCTGGGGATTACCCAACATATCCTTAAAGATTACACCTCAGCCACTGAGTCACACAAGTGAACAATAAACATCAGACAAAAGGTATTGGGTGAAGATCATGAGAAGCCCGCTGTCAGCTACTTTAACCTGGGGGCCACCCAATATATCTTTAGTGATTACGCCTCAGCCACTTAGTCACACAAGTGAGCACTGAACATCAGACAAAAGGTATTTGGTAAAGATCAAGAGAGCACCGCTCCAAGCTACGCTAACCTGGGGGTTACCCAATATATGCTTAAAGATTACACCTCAGTCACTGAGTCACACAAGCCAGCACTAAACATCCGACAAAAGGTATTTAGTGAAGATCATTAGAACGCCGCTGAGAGCTACTTTAACCTGGGGCTACCCAATATATTCTAAGAGATTAAACCTCGGCCACTGAATCACACAAGCGAGCACTAAACATCAAACAAAAGGTATTGGGTGAGGATAATGAGAAGACCGCTGACAGCTACCATGAGCTCGGGCTTACCCAATGTATGCTAAGAGATTAAACCTCAGCCACTGAGTCACACAAACAAGCACAAAACATCAAACAAAAGGTATTGGGTGAGGATAATGAGGAGACCGCTGACAGCTGCTTTAAAATGGGGGATACCCAAAATATCCTAAGTGATTACACCTTAGTCACTGAGTCGGACAAGCGAGCACTAATCATCAGACAAAGGTATTGGGTGAAGATCATGAGAGGACCTTTGACAGCCACTTCGACCTAGGGGCTACCCAATGTATGCTTAGTGATTACACCTCGGCCACTGAGTCACACAAGCGAGCGCTAAACATCAAGCAAATGGTATTGCGTGACGATAATGAGAAGACCGCTGACAGCTTCCATGAGCTGGGGCTTACCCAATATATGCTTAAAAATTACACCTCAGCCACTGAGTCACACAAGCGAGCACTAAACATCAGACAAAAGGTACTAGGTGAAGATCATAAGAAGACCGCTGACAGCTACTTTAACCTGGGGGCTACTTAATATATCCTTAGTGATTACACCTCAGCCACTGAGTCAAACAAGCGAGTACTAAACATCAGATAAAAGATATTGGGTGAACATCATAAGAAGACTGCTGCTAGTTACGCTAACCTGGGGATTACCCAACATATACTTAAAAATTACACTTCAGCCACTTAGTCACACAAGCGACGTTAGACAGCGAAAAAAAGGGATTGGGTAAAGATCATGAGAACACTGCTGACAGCCTCTTTAACCTAGAGTTGTCCCAATATATGCTTAGTGATTACACCTCAGCCACTTAGTCACATAAGCGAGCACTAAACATCAGACAAAAAGTATTTGGTAAAGATCATGAGAGCTCCGCTAACCTGGGGGTTACCCAATATATGCTTAGAGATTACACCTCAGCCACTGAGTCACGCAAGGGAGCACTAAGTATCAGACAAAAGGTATTGGGTGAAGATAATGAGAACACCGCTTGCAGCTACCATGAGCCGGGGCCTACCCAATATATGCTAAGAGATTACACCTCAGGCACTGGGTCACACATGCAAGCACTAAATATCAGACAAAAGGTATTGGGCGAAGATCACGAGAAGACCACTGACAGCTACCATATGCTTAAAGATTACATGTCAGCCACTCAGTCACGCAAGCGAGCACTTAACATCGGACAAAAGGTATTGGGTGAAGATCATGAGAACAACGTTGACAGCTACCATGGGTTGGGGGTGTCTCAATGTATCCTTAAAGATTACATGTGAGCCACTGAGTCACACAAGTGAGTACTAAACATCAAACAAAAGGTGTTGGGTGAAGATCATGAGAACATCTCTGACAGCTACTTTAACCTGGGGATTACCCTACATATCCTTCGAGATTACACCTCATTCGCTGAGTTACACAAGCGAGCACTGACCATCAGACAAAAGGCGTTTTGTGAAGATCATTAGAACATTGCTGACAGGTACTTTAACCTGGGGGTGTCCCAATGTATCTTTAAAGATTGCACCTCAGCCACTGAGTCACATGAGCGGGCACTAAAAATCAAACAAAAGGTAATGAGTGAAGATCATGAGAACGCCGCTGAGAGCTACTTTAACCTGGGGCGTACGCAATATATGCTTGGAGATTACACCTCAGCCACTGAGTCACACAAGTGAGCACTAAACATCAGAGAAAAGGTATTGGGTGAAGATCACGAGAAGACCGCTGACAACCTGGGGATTACCCAAATTAAACTTGGAGATCACACATCAGCCAGTGATCCTCACAAGCGAGTAGAAGAGATCAGACAAAAGGCATTGGGTGAAGATCATGAAGCATAGCTCACAGCTACCATAACCTAAGGGGTTACCCAATATATGCTTAGAGATTATACATCAGCCACTGAGTTACACAATAAGCACTAAACATCAGACAAAGGGTATTGGGTGAAGATCATGAGAACACCGCTCACAGGTATCATTAGCTAGGGATTACCCAATATATGCTTACAAATTACACATTAGCCACCGAGTAACAAGCACAAGCGACCACGAAAGATCAGACAAAAGGTGTTGGGTGAAGATTATGAAAAGACCGCTGACAGCCACCATAACTTGGGGGTTACCCAATATATGCTTAGAGATTACACCTCAGCCACCGATCGAGTAACACATGTGAGCACTAAACATCAGAAAAAAGTTATTGGATGAAGGTTTTAACAAGACTGCTGAAAGCTACCATGAGCTTGGGATTACCCAAATGAATTTGGAGATCACACATCAGCCACTGAATCATTTAAGCGAGCATTTAACAACAAACAAAAAGTATTGGGTGAATAACATAATAGGACCCTTAACTGAGGATATTGAATGAGACGCACTTTAGTACTGATTAATGCAAGTGTGGACTTGAATTCTGTTTAAAATTGCGGTTAGAGGAGAACGAGAACCAGTGAATCAATTGTTAAAGAAATTACGGACATCATTGAGGTTTAAAAAGTAGTAGAGGTTACCTGAAATAGGTATCATATTTTTTAGCCTACACAAGCGAGAAGAATACTCCTCAGTTATCACGTTTGTAAACAACCTCTCGACTTAACATCAGTCTTTTTGAAAAGAAAAAAAAAAGACATGCCTGAACCAGAAGATTCAAGATCATTCAAGACATTAGAAATACATAACATTGTCTTATAAAGGAAAATGTTGATTTTCGTTTATTTCCGACAGAAATATTGCATTATACAGTTCACATCACTTGAGTGATGTAAATGCAAAATAATAGTAATCAATACACCCAATTAGAACAAAGAAAATACCGCCAAGAGACAACTAGAACTGAAGCGTGGGAAAACACGAGTTCCGAGTCGCAATTAGTTTCAGTTTTGCATCTGATCGGTTGAAAAAGTGGCGCGAGTTTCGGGACAAATCCCACGACGAAGTAAAGCAAAACCAATGCAATCCCAATTTATCTCTGGCGTTAAACAGAAAATCTGTCATTGCTCGGTCGAAATGTTATCAGTTCGCAAACTTATCCACATGACCCCTGGACGTGTTGCACATCAAGTCTTTCCTTGACGGAGACCAAATGCCTTGGAAGGAGCTTAAAGTCACTAAGACTGATTAGTAGAGATTCTTAATGTACAAACTAAAAAGAAACTTGTTTTCTTGCTTCATCAAAGTGTAACTCTGTCTCTTGAAATTCCGTTGTAACTTGTTCTGGATCCAGTACCGTGAGGTTCTCCCAAATACCCATCATCCCTTGGAGACATCAGGTCCAAACGAACTGCAGGCTCATGAGCAGAAGCTATAATGTTTGCGGTACTAAACAGGTTCGAAAGTCTTTGAGGAGGTTCCCAGATTAGTTGTATCCAGGCCGACTGACGTTTCGAGCGTTAGCCCTTCGCTCGCTCTGAAGGGCTAACGCTCGAAACGTCAGCTTTTTTACTCTTTACGATGGTCAATTTACGTTTTAAACTCAGTTGTTAACACTAAATTACCTGCTACACTCTCCCACCGACGCAGCACCACAGTTTCTTTAGAAACTTACCCCTTTATTCATTCGACTCTTTTCTAATTTGATTCCCTTGAATTCGCGGTTGAGGAGTTTTCTTTCCTGTAAAAGTTGTCTCTCACGATTTAGAAGTGTAGTTACCTAAGGAAAAACAATAATAATGATTGGTGCCGGATACCTAAAGTCTAAAAACAACCGAGGCCAAAGCCACCATTTTGAAAAATTAACAAACTGAGATAAAATTTAAGAAAGCTAGAAAGCAAGCAATTCTATCTTCTTAGCGCTCATTCAGTTGTAAAATAAAAACCACAGTAACGAAAGATCGATGCAATCCCGGATTACCTGAACCCTTATACTCTGAGAGTGACAAGCATCTAATTTCTCCTTACAATATCACCCCCAATTAACGCATTAAGGTCACGAGAAGAAAGAAAATGATCACCAACTAATGAAGCTCTTGATTGGTAAACAAATTCTCCTTGTCTTCTCCTTAGGAAATGTATTGAGAACAGTGTGGAGAATATGTATACTGATCTTAGGGTGTAAAGGGTTAAAGACCCAATTGAAAGTCTCTTTAGAAATTTTTGAAATAACTATTTGAAAGACTTGAGGGATATGAAGTAAGTGAGTTGATTGTTTGGCTCTTTAATGGGAAAATAGTAACGAGTAAATAACTAAATCAACAACAACAGAAAAACCAAAGTTTTGGCAGGATAAGACAGGATAGCGCACTGCGTGTACACATTTCGTTCTTATATCTGAGAGTTTGCTGCATCTGCTCTTGTTTCTGGATCGACGACCATACTTTGAAGCTTCTCGTGAATGAGCTTTGAACTCCAACTGCAAAGGGAATAAGAGAAAAATAGAAAGTTAGCTGCTTGGGCAAAAACTCTCTGAACATCAAGAGCGAACCTCTCCCTCGTGAAACCTCTATGTGAGGAAGAAATCTTTCGTTCCATTTGAAAAAGGATGCTCGAGTAAGCGTCGTATCTGTTACGATTAATGAAGCGAATCTCCTATTCAAGGGACACTTTTCCCTCTCTCGATAGTGTCCTATCACTGGAGTTTCCACCGTCAGTGAGAAGCCATAAACACCAGCACTACTTTGACAGAAAGGCGAATGCAACAGATTTTGGCACGCACTCACTTTAGACAGAAACAACAACAACAACATGTATTTCCAATACTAAGAACGACAATCACTTCGTGGCTATTGTCGAGTAGTACCTCTTCTCTCGCCTGCCTCTCCTCGTTTAACTGGCCGTTCAGTTCATTATTCCTTCGTTTCTGCTTGTTAATCTCTTGTCTAGTAGAGAGAAGGTAAAACAATAAAGTGAACATATGCGGCTAAGAGACGAGTCAGAGTGTTTTCTCCTTTTTTTTAATACCACTTCAATGAAAGTTGTTCTACTGGAGACTGTTCTTTGAGAGGCGTTGGTGCTATGTCAGCCCGAATTCTTAGGTGTAAAAGTGTACATTGGGGCAAAAACTTTTTGGGTTTTACCCCACTGTGAATCAAATTGAAGGGATTATAACTGTTTGCAAAGCTAAAAAGATGAATAAAAAATTTATACTAACCTTAATCTTTTCTTTCAGGAAAAACTTTGTACAGTTTTCAATGTGGCATAAGTCTTAAACCGAACAAAAATTATTGTAAAGAAAGTATAGGTTGCTGTGGCAACCGAAGCTTCGTCTTTCAAAAAGCGCCGTATAGACAACAGAAGGGAAATCGTTGTAGGAATGTCTACATTATTTTTGTTCATCTCCTAAGAATACGCAAGTAACGACAGTAGAATCTTACCTCAACTCATTTACTGTTGCCGAATGTTGCAAATTAACCCTTATAAATTCAACGGAGCTTTCAGCTTAGGTGCAATGAACGAATTTTAAACTCTACTTTGTGCATGGAAGCCGTCCATCAATCCTGGGAGTGTTTCAAAAGGTAATTTGCGAAGCCACCGGTGCCACAACAAAACGGCGTGTCAGGTTCTGCGAGAAAATTGCTGAGCGGACTTTGCAAGTAAACTTAACCATACGTAAGCTTTATTAGACAACAACTCAAAAAAATGTCTGAAAGCCCTGATTTGAAAGACATCACAGAATAATTTGTTAAATGCTTGTTCTTATGAGCGAAAGTGCTTTTTAGTTCCTAGCTTATCTGCCATCCCCGACAACATCTGTTTTTCTGTTTGTAACAATAATACTGAAAAAGTTTGTTGACAGTGAGTTTTTGTAATAAACTTGAATCAAATAGTAACTTCTTCTAAATTAATGATGAATTAGCGAAAGGATAAATTTATATATAACTATATTTAACCTATAACTGGTAGACAATATGACCTCAAGGAAACAAAGTTGAGGAAACTTTACGATGTTAAATGACAGAGACAGTGTTTTTTTCGTTAGTTTTAATATGACCAGCTGAAAAAACTTTTGATTCACCTCTGTCAAAAGCTAAGAGAGGTTTAAACTTCGCGAGTATCAGTTCCACGGTCGCCACTGATTTACATGTGAAAATTATTTGGATCTGCCTGCACAAGTAAATTCTCTCTTCAGATTTTGACACATCCCATACTTGCATTTCTGAGAATTTCGTATTAGATCAAGACAGCTTGAAGAGGCTCGGTGCCTTTAAAACCTCTTGCTAGATGAAAAAAGACAACCACGATTTTTAAATTTGGAAGGCTGGGCGCGATGACCCAAGCTAGACTGGGAAAAGCCGCGCGACCCTGCAAGAAGTGAATTAAAAGAGGTAATGAATAAATAATAGGTAGAATACTTTTTGACTGAGTTATGTCGAACATTACTGGAAAAATATTTGGCTCCCAAAATTTTCAAAACGTAGGGACCCAGCGTGGCGACACCTGAACTTCATGACGTCGATCCAATTACTTCGCCGTCCGGTTTTGCATGTTGTCGTAGTACTTGGTTATGTCGTCTGCTCACGTGGTATGAAGTAGGATACTTAGGATATTGTTGGTGGATCGAGAGGGAGGGAGGGTCTAGTGATCCGGAAACCTACCAAACCATCAGAAGTAAATGTGAAGTATTTGATTTTTATTTGCCTTTCAATATTTCTAAGTGTATTTAGGCTGCAATTAATGTAACATAAAATTCATTGCCTTTTGGATCAAAGTTTAAACCCCCTCCCTCCTCCCCCCTCCTTTACTGTATGAGAGGTTAAAATGTGCGTTTTGTTGCTTTCGCTGTTCTTAATTTGCGGAGCTTTTCCTTCCCATGGAAGACGTGAGTGGATAGAGTAGTTTTTTAAATTCCTATTTGAAGATATTTAACTAGCAGGAGTTTTTTAACGCAAGAAATGATGCTACATGTTAGACTGGAATCGCTTTTTAAGAAAGAAGCTGGAAATGGAAACATTAAGATTTGAAAAAGTTACATGTGTTACAATCAGGATAGGAAAAAATGTATATATTTTTTGCTGTTAGAGCGTTCGGCTACTGATGAATTACAAATTGTAATATTCCTCACACTTTTGGCTTGTCTGGCGCGTCATAGAATAAATAAAGTCATCGGGCTAGACTGTGGGCTCTTGATAACTTTAATTTCTCGATTTAACGGTATTTTTAGTGCCAGGAAAGGGCTGTCTAAAACGGAGGTGTTATAACGAAATAAGGAAACTGGTTTAAAAATTATTTCTTTACTTTGGTTCTGTTATGTTGTTGTCAAATTTTAGTTCTGTCTCAAATCAGTCTCAATGATTTATGTTTGTAGATTCGTTTTACGACATTTTTCTTAAAAGTAAACTGTCCTAAGGTTTAACTGAGTTCGTTAAAATCTTTTTGATTCAGTGCTCAACCATCTTATTCACTGGATTATATTTTTCAGTTTACCGCTTGATAGTTAAAACCGCGCGCGCATCATTTGCCGGCACTGATGCTGTAATCCGAATCCGAATTCAAGGAACCCGAGGCGACTTGAAAGAACGAGTAATAAACGGGAGATTTGAACAAGATGGGTAATTATGATGAAAATGATTATAATGTCGATGATGATATTACCACAGATGATATCGATGATGATCACAACGATTATAATGACAATGATGATGGCGCTGTCCGTCGCGATTTAAGATGTTGGTGATGACCACGATCGATCATACACATGCTACAGAATAAGCTGTGCTTCCATAATCAAATAAACAAAAATTATTCTCGCATTTGACCCGAAGATGATCTTTCAGGAAAAAAATTATCCTCGCAAGGGAGCTGCATATAGGAAAACTTAGAAATGCACTTGTCACGAGTTTGCACCTTACTGCAGAATGCGTCAATCAATTTGAAGCTTCAAGATCCCCCTCTCGGGCATTTGAACTTCTGACGATTGATTTGTTCAACTTCCGCCCTCCTCCTCCCAGGGTAAAAATTGTGTTCTAATGCCCCACCCAATTTTTAGTAAAAGGAAAAATCAGCGACCGGGACTTTCTACACATTAACTGAGCTCAAGAGATGATTGTGTTATGTTGCACTTTACCGCTTAATCGATAACCCGTGCGGTTATTTACCTGAATCAACCATCGCAAGATACTCAGTTATTCCTCGCCCTTGAACATACTGTTCATGTTTATAGAACTGACCTCATTGATATCTACGACTATGACATTGGATACATCAAGGGAGCGGATATTAAGCGGAATAATGCTGGGTTTTTGCCGGACTGGAAACTTGACAAGGTAAGTAGCAGTTAAGATTGTGGAGATATGATTTATATTTTGAAAATTACCTTCAAAACTTAGAAAAAAAGGCCGTGAAGTGATAAGCAACGAATGTGTAAAATACGAGCTAAAATGATAAATTTTGCTTTGTCTAACGTTGGAAAAAAAACTGTGTAAACACCAAAGAATGGACAGGGAAGCAGAACAATACAATAAAGTCGACTAAACTTTGCTGTTCCGTTGATCGCAATAGCACGCACAATCATTCTTCGCTCCATTTTTCATGGGCGAGACAGAACATTCCTTTGAATGATGAAGACAAACTTTCGAAAAGAATTCCTCTTTATTATTAACATGGGCAGAGTGAGCTAAGGCTAGAATGTCTTATCGGAAAAAAACCCCTTAAATGGGCCTCTTTGTTTTCCTGGAAGTCCTGTCATCAGTAATTACACTGCAATTCTTCTTTAAAAACGTAATCGATTGCGCAGATGAAAAATCATCGTTCTCGGATACAATTTAAAGAAGTTGCAAAAAGAAGATCCGTCCATGGTTTACAATCACATCTATTTTGTTTATTATCTTTTTTTTTCATTTCACATAATGTGTTTCTCGTTTTTCCTGTTTGTAAACATCCTCCTGGAGTAGCTTACCATAAAGTCTCTTCCATCTTAGATCACCATCAAAGTCGCCGGTGCAGAGGACAGCATTTTCAATTATTACGACTGGGTCCCCCAAAACAAGTGGGTTGAATTACCCCGTAAGTAACAGCAGTCACTGATTTCAATGACTTTACATCATTCTGAGTTGTGACGCACGCCTATGTCCACACTCACTTTGACTTACTGCTCAACATGCTAGAAAAAGGGTTGAAAACCAGTTGCAGAGTTGTTTACACCTCTCAATTAATTTTTCTGTGCAGTTTCCAATTCCTGTTTGGTAGATAAAGATCTTCCTGCAGGGACGCTCGAAGAAGAAACTATTGAATTAGTTTCCACCTTAAAGCTCCTAGAAAAAATATATGGCGAAATCAGCTTGCCCACTTGACTATAACGATGATTGTTTACGGATTTTTGTTTTCAATCTTATGAGGATTAAAGTTTCAAAACATGTGTAATGTCAGTCAAAGAACTCGGAAGGATTTTTTAGTTCATTGTGTCGATTCATTTCACTTTTTTTTCTGACGAAACTGGATATTTTTCTCACTAAAATTAATTATACTTTGTGTTTTAGTCTCTTGCCCGAATGGTTCTCATAAAAATACCAAAGGCTTCTGCGATGGTGAGTGCCTTTTGATGAAATAAACGTGTGGATAGATATTTAGGCATATTTTTCATTTAGCAGTTGTTGCGACAAATTTTAGTCAACACTCAGTTACAAGCGAAATACTTTTTGATATCTTAATAATGGATTGACCACGTTGTCAGTTAAATTTATTTAATTAGCTGAATCCCATACGAATTGTGATTGGTTCTCAGCTATGATCTATTGAAGGACAGACGTATGGATGACTTCCCCTCAACAAAATTTTTTTGCCTGCCAATTATATAACTTATAGATTTCATTCTGCCGTGACACACTCGGCTGCGCCTCGTATGTCACTCTTTTGTTCTTAACCTCTTTTTCCCATCATCTGTTATCTATTACTGAACACAAGTATGGCAACATAGAATCTATTCGTAGAGGTTATTACATGATTCCGAGTGCAATTTGGAATAAATAAGAGCGAGTAAATTTTTTCAAAGACCAACAAAATTGCATGAGCCCGTAGGGCGAGTGCAATTTGTGTGGTCTTTGAAAAAATTTACAAGTGCTTATTTATTCTAAATTGCACAAGAAAAATCATGTGATTACGTATTAATTATATACATGAAGAAATACGAGATAGCTTATCATAATGATGCAGAAGCAAAGCTCGCGCATCAAGTGCAAACATACGAGTGACATTGTGCGTTCGGTCAAAACAACCGCGTACGATCAAACAATAATATACAAAGCTATTTTCACATCTTTAAGGCGCAAAAAAGTTCGAATTCCGGCTAAACAGTTCAAGGAATTGTTTAGTCTGGTTTGTTACTTCTTTTCACTGAATTAATCCTCTCCTGCACTGAATTGCCTGAAAACTGCATTTATCTTAACCAATCAGTATTGAGTAATTTTTTCATGTATCTTATTACGTTAAATATAACCTACTTAGAATGGCGCGATTACCAAAACGGTAATGAAATTCTGAGACTTGGAAGTTCTAACTTTTTTAGAAAAAGGTTGGGACCGACCATAATTTTCTAGAAGGTTGTGGTGAAAAGTGTTTTCGGTAAAATATTTTTTTCGCCATGTTTACGTCTACGTAAAGAATAACTTTCCTTTCTCTCATTGCTGTTGACAAATATTGTCAACAAACAAACATTTCAAGTCTTCCCAAAGGGGAGAGATCCAGGGTATAAACTCTCGATAGAAGGTTTTTTTCTCCAATATCTGTGTCATGAAACTGTTTCACGAATCTCATTGAATCTCTCTATGGCACCCTTGGGAACCTCTGGAAGCGATCCCTTGAGGTAGGTCAGAATATCCGCGGTTATGCTGGGGCTTAAATCTGTTTCGCGGGCTCAAGCAATTTTTTTGTCAAGCCCTCAAGACTGAATTTAACATCTTTTCTTTGATTGGTTGCAGAATGATGTGAATAATCAACCTCCTGGAGTTAAATTTATGTTGATTTATTAAAAGTAATGCAGATTACAACGGTTTATCTGATTGTTTTCCCTTCCTGGGTTCTGGTTCATATAAGTAACATTTGTTTGTACACTACATGTCAATTAAGGTGTTTCAACCCTTTTGATCTGTAATATGTGGGGGACTGAAGTTTACTTTGTGATAGGATCATAAAATTACTTTACAATGTGAAATAAAAGGTGAAAATAATTGTAACATTACGCCTTGAAATTTCTTGTTCTAGGTAATCGTACATTAGGGGGTATCGCCTACAAGCCTTATCGTAAAGGGTTTTCAGTAATCGCACGCATTGATTCACGCAGATTTAAAACATGTTGTCAATGATGAACTTACGGGCGTAAGCTTTTAGGCTAGCTTTATAATCACCACGGACTGGCGTTTTATGCTTGGAATTAAGAAAAAAATGCTGGAAAACAGTTGCAATTAAATACCTGGTCCATTTTGCTCTAGCGGTCCAGATTCCGTATTTACGCTGAGTGAGTTTCGTTCAAGCTTCAAGATATGTGTTAACGGCCGTAGATTTGTTGAGTGATATTTTCAATATCTCAATTTCTCAGAATTAATTTAGCTCAAATCATTGTTTATTAAAGATAACTAAGGTAATAAATATTGTGTAAAAATTCAAGATGGCGGACGGAGATGATGTCTTTCAGCTTAGCCCAGTTGGCACGTTCTTTTGCATTTGGACTTGACATATGTACTTTGCTGACATCGACATTTCCAATACCGATAACGACATTTTCGAGTACTGTCCTCGCAAATCGCTGAAACAAGGAGCAAAACTCGGTTAAGATTGAAATGCATGAAGTTTTAATGACTGAATACGTGTATGTATGTGTATGTATAGTTAAACACTGTATGCAGAAAATAAATAAATAAAAAATGGGGCAATTTTAAATCAGAAAGGCTGTATGGGCAGCCGTCACCACCTGGAATACAAGGATGTCAAATAAATCAGCAAATACGAAGCTGGTTTAAGGATCAGCTGCAGGATAGCATAGCTAACAAAGGAACGGCATGGCCAAGTTATAGACGGTTTAGTTTTCCTTCATGAAACAGAACACCCTCAACATGAACAGTTTAGTCAAATGATAAACGGTCTAGTTGTTTATGTTGAGTTGGAACATGAAATTGTGCAGTGGACTACCTCAATTGCAAATAGCTTAGTACTCATTTGCGATACAGTACACAAACGGTGTAGCGTTGCCAGAAGTGGCCCAGCGTGATGTCGAATGGTACAGCGTACGTACATACAAATGATGTAGCGTTACGTCGAATAGCTTTGCAGAACATCAGACGCTCCAGCTGAACACTAAATTGGTTAGCATTACATGAAATATTTCGATGTTGTGGCGAATCGTCGAACTTGATTGTGGCGTGACGTGAAGGTTATCTCGCCGAAACCGCCAAAAATACAAACTGCAAAGGGAACGACGATCTGCTGGGGGGCATGACGTCATCGAATGTAAAGATTGGCGCGAAACTATCACATGGTGTAGTCGCGAGTCTTCACTTCGCTGTACCGATTTTATTTACCGATTGCTATACCGAAACAGGACGTAAGCTTTGCTGCTTTGATGGCTGTCATAGCTCGGGATTTTCGACCTAAAATTAATTTTTGGTTGGTGATTAAAACATTTTTACGGACATTGGCCAACGAACTGCATTTCCCTCAAGGAAAGTTAAGTTTTTCTCAGTTCAGCGTAAGGCTCACGACGCTAAATTTTCATAGAGAGAAAACTTCGCTCTCTAATTAGAGATAACATGATCAATAAATTGATAGATTGATGTATCAAATGATTGACTGGTTCATTGATTGACTTATATATTTTAGCCAAGAGCACACGGGGGGGGGGGAGTGACAATTTTCCCTTAAGATTTTGCGTACAATCCGTTTGGGAGGATTTCTTCATAAAGAAATATTCTATCCAACATAGTTATTCAACAGAAAATGGGGTCCCGAATGCTCAGAGACGAATTGATTTTCACAAATCCGTCATCTCGTATGACGGAAATGCTTTATTGACGTAGTTTAGAAGTATTTAAAATCTAAAAAAATCCAAAAAAAAATTTCCAATTAAAACGGAAAGTAATGATGTTCCGAAGAGTCACTCGGGTATTTCGCTCTAAATATTAAATGCCAACTTTCGATGTTTTGTTGCTTACACGTATGATATGTCAAATAAACAGAAAGCAAAGATATTTTGTGTCTAGGTTAAGTATGTGTGATAAAATTAATAATTGATGATAATGAAACCAAAAGATGTTCGGTAAGGCTGAATGATATTTCAGTAAAAGGAAAGGATCTTCCGTTTTTCTAAGATGTGTGTTATCTACACCTCATTCGATGGCTTAATATATAATACGCGGGGATATTTTGCGAGTTGCGTGGTACTTTTACGAGCCCGAAGGGGCGATGAAAAATTCGAGCAATGAGTAAAATGGTAACTCGTATTATTTCTTAAATCATCGAATAAGGGATTTATTATCCCACTATTATTTCTGTTTTTAGCATTTGAATTTTACTCTGCGAAATACATCCTACGGCCCTATCGGTGCATCGTATCGATCGTATAATAAGGAGTACGCTAAAGACGAAAACAACACCAACGAAACGATCAAGGTATTTATTGTGACCAACAATCTGTCGTGTTAAAAGTTCCTTTCTCTAAATTCAAGCCTGGAAACGAAAAAAGAGTCAAAGCTTGGATTCTTAAGTGCGGCCATTTTATTGCTCTTCATTTCTGTCATGTTCTACAGTCTATTACAGTGGTGTATTTTGCGCGTTCTCATAACTTTATTTGGTAAAATTACATGGTAGTGGAATAATAAATCAGAGTATCTACGATGAAAAATTCTGACAAAATGTGCATGCAGATGTTTAACCGATAATCAACATTCTTGCTTTTTGACTTATTTCATATAGAATAAGTGTATGCAATACAATATCGAAATACGCGCATTGGATCTTTTGTCCACAAAGGACCTTCGCAACAAGACACCAAAGGAAACAAAGAATTTCCATGCGTCAGTAAACTTTTTACATGAAACACCGTATACTCAGAGTGTTTTATTGGTACTACAACGGGACGTCTTTATCGAAACTGAATTAAAACTGATCATATAATAAGTTTAAGGGGGTTTACATTAACCGTGGAAAAAACTGCTTTCGGTTTTTAACTGAATAGACATGCAGTGTTAAAAATAGAGAAAACAAAAGGATAATTATTATGGCAGCAGCTTCATGACCCCAATGTGATTTAATGTTCTGGCATTATAAGGGTTTAGTGAGCGGAAAGAATTCAGTTCGACAACAAGGCTGCGAAGGCATAAGACTACAGATCGAAGGCATCGCTCAGCTTGGACTAAGTTCTGAATTGTGCGACCTAATTGAAGATATTCAAGGCTGTTCTTCTCCCAAAAAAACTTCAACTGCAATACGACAGGTATGTGAAAACATTTGATCAAGCTGTATAATTAAAATACACCGCAATCCCGCCGAGTGCTTAAGCGGAAACACAAAATTATTCAAATGTGCTGAGGAATTGTTTTCCGTTGAATCTGTAAGGCATAACATCTTATCGCTTTGAGACCATTCAGTAGAGAGCCCTCGTCGCGCTATTTCTGTAACTTCTGAAAACATACGTGGAACTAATCCTTGATTTTACTCGACCCTTTGCGATTACCTATGATAGCCATAAGATCAAAGTACCACAACTGACTTAATACCATTTTATCGGGAACTGAAACTGACAATTATGCAGCCTCGCTCCTATCGAGGAAACTGAAAGATCCGGAAAGTCAAGGAAGAAACAAATTAATTCGAGCGATGAGTAGAATGTCTGGTCATATTATATCTTAAACAATCGAATAACGGATTTATTATCCCACTGTTATTTTACTTTTAGCATTTGAATTTTACTTTGAAAAACACATCCTACGGCCCTATCTGTGCATTGTTTCTATCGTATAATTAGGAGTATGCCAAAGACGAAAATAACACCAACGAAACGATCAAGGTATTCGTTATGACCAACAAAAAAAATCTGTTGTGCTTAAAAGTTCGCATCTCTAAAATTCAAGCCTGAAAACGAAGAAAAATCAAAGCTTGGATGCTTCAATTCCGCCATTTTATTGCTGTTCATTTCTGCCCTGTTGTACAGTCTATTACATTGGCGTATTTTGCGCGTTCTTACGACCTTATTTGGTAAAATTACATGGTTGTGGAATAATAAATCAGAGTATCTACGATGCAAAATGTGCATGCATGTTTTATATATCAAAGAAAAGGATGCAGAAGATGTTTAACCGCTAATCAACATTCTTGCTTTTTGACTTATTTCACATAGAATAAGTGTATGCAATATAACATCGAAATACGCGCATTGGATCTTTTGTCCACAAAGGGCCTTCGCAACAAGACACCAAAGGAATTTGAAAAAATTCCATGCCTCAGTAAACTTTTCATTTGAAATACTGTATACTCAGAGTGTTTTATTGATACTACAACGGGACTTCTTTATTGAAACTGAATTAAAACTGATCCTATAATAAGTTTAAGGTGGTTTACATTAACCGCTTTCGGTTTTTAACTGAATAGACATGCAGTGTTAAAAATAGAGAAAACATAAAGGTAGTCAGTGTGGCAGAAGCTTCGTGACCCCATAGTGATTTAATTTTTATGGCATTATCAGGGTTAGTGAGCGGAAAAGAATTCAGTTCGACAGCAAGGCTGCGAAGGATCAAGACTACCGGATCGACAGTACCGTTCAGCTTGGATTAAGTTTTGAATTGTGCGATCTAATCGAAGATATTCAAGGCTCTTCCTTTCCCAAAAGAGCTTCAAGTAACTGCAATACGACAGGTATGTGTAAATATTTGATCAAGCTGTATAATTAAAATACCCTGCAATCCCACCGAGTGGTTAAGAGGAAACAAAAAATTATCCAAATGGGTTAAGGAATTGTTTTTCGTTGACTCTGTTATGAGTAACATCTTATCGCTTTGAGACCATTCAGTAAAGAGAATTCGTATAATCCGTTTGTTAAAAGCTAATGAGTTTATTACTCAATGCTAATAAGAAGAACAATTCAAAACAGTGATAGTTGTGAACAT